CTTTCCCTTAGAGCTTATGGGGTGGTTACCAAGTCCTGAAAGATTTATTTTTAGGCCCTGCCCAATGAATGAGGCAGCATAAAGGACTGCAATACTCCACAGAACAGCCCCCAGGAGGGACCCTACGCTCACTCCCAAACAGGTAGCACACCACCCTATTAACAAGACTGCTAGGCACTGTTAGAACCGTTGTTTCACTTCTCAGAGAATGGGAAGCAGCAACTTTTAACCGCCTCATGTGCAAGACCTGTAGCAGTGCTATATACCCTTCACACAGGAAGAGGAAGACTTTTTTTTTTTAAATTGAATTAGGGAATGAAATTAAATATGGCTTAAAGGTTTGTTTGACACAACCAGGCTGCTCTTAGCATAAGTATGAGTTAGCAAATACTGTGAGTTCTTGTTTTAACCAGATATTCTAACTTGACAGGGGCCTACCCCTCTGCAGAGGTATGATATATACCAAGACAGCTGCCTTTAGGCACGTATGCCTTACTATCTAGGAAACTACAAAACTAGTTACAATAGACAGAATAGAACACTAAAGTTTTGTAACCAGACCGCTTGCTTAACAGAGATTAACCTCAGGATGTATGGAATATTTGATAAGATTGCTATATAAGTTGACTGAAATTCTACCTCAGCAGAGGTGCATTTTGTAGGGTGCAGACCCTATACTCTCCCCACTAGCGAAAATAAAGGTGCTTTGACTTACAGTCCATCTGTGAGTTGATTCCTTTGAATCAAAATCATCTATGTTTTCAATGCATTTAGGTCTGCATGTTTAAGTTCAGACCTGCTTAACACCCCTGCATATGTGCATGCTGCTGGATACAGGCAGAAGCTGACCTCCAGGCCTCCCTGCTGAGGGAAGTTGATGTACACTCCACATCCGAGTATGGACCAAACCTCTTATTTACAACTTTTGAGCCAAACATGGCAACACAAAGCACACTAACTCTCCAACCGTTATTTCAGTTTAGCTATTTGGTGGTCACAGAATAGCTGCTTTGAGCCTGACCTCCACAGCTAGCACATGGGTAGACTATTCACATTATGCAGGTCCAAAAGTTCATAAACTTAAGCATCAAGCCTGGACCTAAAGAAGCAGAGAAGCTGAGAAATGCGATACAAGGCTGGAGTAGCTGCTGCAGAGACAGAGACAAAAGGAGTTTCACCATTCCTGATTCCTGACCCCTGATGTATCTGACCACAGAACATACAGAAGCTAACCCCATTTATGAAGACAACAGTGTCATTCACTCCTTTCTTCCTTCTTTTTGTTAACAGGGCTGGAGTGCACCCTGTCCTGAAAGCACTGTGCTTAAATTAACCTGAAAGGCTGTAGAAAAAAAAACACTTGGGCTCTCTTGGCCAGATTTAATTTTTATGATCCATAAAATACCCATTAAAAGAGGCAATTTATTTTTTTAAAGTACTGTCTCTCTTCAAAGCAATGGTTAAGAAGAGGTATTATCAAGCCCTAAAGTAACTTGCTCATCTGCCTCTCAGAAAAGGAGCTTCTGACAGGAGAACTGCATCTTTACCAGAATACACAAACATCTCAGACCAAACAGTTATCAGGCAACTTACTGTCCACATCCTAAGCAAAAGCAAACATAGTCTGATCTAATTTAAGTGGATCTTTTAACAAGACCAGGAGGTCAGAAAAAGGATTAGTCCTTTAGAAAGTGACTGGACAAGTTCACTGAAAGAAAAGCTCCTCATAACCAAGGAAGAGCCTAACCTGGGCGTTAAGTGACCATTCAGGGGCAGCCCCAGAATACAACTGTTTATACTTTTATTTTCCCCCAGACCCCTGTTATTGGCCACTGCCAGATAGACAATGGACTAGATTTATCTTTAGCTTAGCCAGTGCAACTACTGTGTTTTCTTAAGATGTTGTAACACCTCAGATCACTTTTTAAAGGACTTAATGGGGCAGAATATAGCTATTATCTGATGTACACAGGATACAACAGGAATGAAGGATGACATATCATTACCAGCTGTCAATGACGACAGCATAAGGCTGGCTCTTAAACTGATCTAATAGTTACAGAAGTGTAACATTTAACACTGGAAAGGTTTTTGCCACAGAAACAGACCCAAAGCCTGCCCCCATCAACAGGGCTGAAATACACCATAGATGGATCATCTAGAGGAGAAAGGGTTTAAGTGTATCCACTTGACTTTCCTCTGCTTATGTTTGTAATTCTGACAGTGTTTGTTAGTGACTTGGAAACAAAGGGAATGAGTGAGAAGGCACAATCGCCACTGTCACTCCATATGGTACCACTAGTCCAAGCCACTGAGTGGGGATTGCCTCTGCAGATGCTGCTCTCCGAAGACAACATTACTTTCTGTAAAGCTTACCTTTATGCTTGCAGTACTTCCAGACATAGAACACGCATATCTCATCACACTTATCTTCTTTGTTATCCTTCAAAGCTTTAGCAGAGGAATCGTCTTTTTTATCTACAGGAAAGAACATTTCAGTCCTTGTTCTCCCTCCAGAATGCAACTCTAAGATAAAGACATTGCATTTGGTATTTCATCCCAGGAATAACAAGGAGATGACTACAGTTGCCAAATCAAGCACTTTCAGGATCTGACTATCCCCTGTACAACCCACTGCATGAGTTAGGGCTTTGTGACTGACCAATAAACCCCTACAAGGGAAGAAGACTCAGTGGAGACAGCCAAGGGTGATGTCATGAAGCTCAGAGAGTAACACAGGCTGTGACTGGCCACCGTGGTTGCAAAGAAGCTGACTTTGTGTCAACACAAAGGGGACCAGAGGGTGGCCTTTGTTGTAGATAACTGGCGGTATAAAAGTTTCTCCCCAAGTTAGCCAGACCAGTATGGGGGGAGCGAATACGGGGCTCAGCCCAACACAGGAGTATAAAAACTAAACAACTAACAAATTAATTTGGAAGAGAGCAATGGGCTTGAGCTGGCTTCAACCCATGTATACCTTCCTGGGGACACTCAGAGTTGTGATGGTGAGCATATTATAGAGACCAGTAATGGGAATCACACTGGTATTGTGATTGAACTGTGTACTGCAATTGCTATATTTTGGTCAGTGTAACTTAACATTTATTATTTTGTTTTCAGTGTATTTTGCATCACTCTACTACATCAGAAATCTCATTGTACTAGGCCTGGCTAAGATAGAGTTAATTTTCTTCACAGCAGCTCCTATGATGCTGTTTTAGATTTTTGACCAAAACAATGCTGATAACACAGTGATACCCTAGCTTTTGCTGAACAGTATTTGCACAGCACCAAGGCCTTCTCTGTTTCTCACTCTGCCCCGCTAATGAATTAGACTGGGGTGTGCACAAGAGGTTGGGGGGGACACAACTGGGCAGAGGACTCAAACTAACCAAAGAAATATTCCATACCATATACCATTATGCTCAGCAATAAAAGGGAAAAGAGGAACTTTTAGGAGGGTTAGCTGTCTTTTGCTCAGGAACTGGCTGGGCATCAGTCTATCCATGGGAGGTGGTGATTGTCTTCGCATCACTTGCTTTGCTTTGTTTTCTTCTTTCTTCTTCCACTTACCCTTCGCTTCTCCTCCTTCCCCCCCACCTTGACCCTGAAGTTTTCTTGCTTTTATTCTTTCTTTCCTCTTCCCCTGTCCCACTGGGGGTCAGGGAGAAGTGAGCAAGTGGCTGCGTGGTGCCTAGCTGCCCACGGGGGTTAACACACAACACCCATGTAACATCAACTATCTTCAAATAAGTAAATTTGATATTAAACACTACATCCTCCATGCATGGAATATCTAAAAGAACCTGTTCAGAGAGTATTGGACTCCGACAGGTTTTAAAGCCAAGGCCCTTCTGCCCAGGAGGACAGGAGATTTACGAGTTCCTATTTGCTCACTAGTAGGTATATCAAGACAACCACTCTACTGATACAGCTGTATCTATTCCCTGGATAGAAGGCGAGGAAACATACCACACGCACAGATACAACTCTGTCTCCTTCCCAGGAAGGAAGCAATGTGTCCAGAAATGTATACAGATCAATCTCAGACTACTCCCCATTGTGCTGCACAATGCCTGGGCAGAAATCTGAACACTCCTCCACAGGCCGTCTGGTACTAGGGCTTTCAGCATACAGTAGGGTAAGCACATATGCTGCACTCCGACTACCACAGGGAGCTGTAGGGCTGTGTGAAACCAAATCTCAATGAGAACCGCTGATCTCAAGAATGGAGGGTTAGAAATAATCCATACCTTTGTCTTTACCTCCAGCTGCTGTTGGCAAGCGGTGTGTACTCTGACCAGTTACATCGCTACTGGCACCTGCATGAGAAGACTGAATGAACAGCACTGTTGGACCAGAACCTCAGCTGGCTGGCAATATCCCAATTTGTGCTGAGGATTATATCCATCACACATACGGTTTTCCACCGGCACCCAACTGCTGATACAACGGACCAGCAGTAACAGTTACAAATCCCAGCTAGTCAGTTATCGGCAGACACTCGATAGTAATTTTGCATGCAGTATTTTAGGCAACAGTAATGCAGCTCTCCCTCCCACATGACTCAGTCATGACTTACTCCATTCCTGAAGCAGATCAATGGCAGAAGGGAAAAAATATGTACATGTTGTAAGAGGGGAAATAGGAAACCTGATTACACACGGAAGGAGTTGGTACTTACCTAGATATTTACCTTCTGAAGGTAAATGTAAAGGTGGCACATGCAGTGTGGAGTCTACTGTTTTCAAAGGTATCCTCAGTTCTTTACTCCTTGTAACTGCTGTTTTTTTCAGTAAATTTTCTCTTGTTTTGTAGTTGGGTACTGAAAGCACAGAAAGGACAATGGGGGTTAGCTGTGAGGTAAAGCAAGAACGGCTTCTACCTCTATCAAACTCAATCCTACTTAAACCCCATGTTTCTTACAACTTACTTTTGCCCTTCTTCAGCTCCTTGTTGAATTCCACATGCTTGTGATCATATATAGTCTGGATGTTTGAAGCCATGGTCACATCAATGCCTCCAGTTTCCAACACTCTCAATGCATGGGTATCCAAGAGGTTATGCGACCTCTTGCAAGAAAGAAATCTACATTCCCCTTGCAGAAAGTGTCGACAAATATGAAGCTTGTTGCAGTTTTGCTGGCTGCAGGTACCATCCTTTCGGTTGTAAAATGGGCAGACCTAGAAGTGGGGAAGATAGATACAATATGAAATGCAAAAGCACATTAAAATCAATATTTTTTTTTTGTTGTTCTATAGGCATGCAGCTTTAACAGCAGAAAAATAGTGACTAAAAGGCATGTGTTCATTGTGACTTCTTTAATCCAGTCAGATTTCTTGCATGGAAGAGCAGGTATTTGCAGCTGACTCATGCATTTTCAGTTTTGAAGTTGTGCAGAGGTGGGGTTTTTTTTCCAACAAAAAGAAAACCCTACCCAACAAGCATTCATTTTTGGCATTCCTAAGCAAGATAGTTGCATAACTGACTGTTTTATAGTTGTGGTAGTAAAAAAAAAAAAAAAAAGGCAAAACCAAACAACAAAGCCATAACAAAGACCAAGCGTCTCCATAAAACCATGTATACTGCGCTTCCTATTTGTAAAGCTTGAAGATTTGGGCATCTAAAAATTATGAGAAGAATGCTTTGGGATTAGAGTACATATGTAAAAAGCAATGCACTACTTTATTCCCTTGCTCACCAAAAAAGATATATGCACGGAATTGGACCCAGGGAACAAATCACACACCAAAAACTCCTTCATATTGCCCACCAGCACCACAGCAACACTTCTACTCCTGCAGCACAGAGAAGCAGCCTGCAACAAGAAAGCTGCTTTGAGGACATCTGGGAGGCAGCCCCAACATCACACCGGAACTGTCACAGATCTCCTCCCAATCCCCATTTCACGCAAGAGAGACAGTTTCTATGCTGTGTTGCAACTGAATAGATACAGATTTATGTATCAGCTAGGGAATTGGAGATTGCTGGGATAAGTGTTTAAAAGACTGAAAAGTCAGGCCAGTTTCAACTGCAAAACAACTCTTTACTGGATTCGTACTCATTAACAATACCCATCGCCAAAGGCGAGTTCCTCGTCGCCATCAGCCAGTAACACGTACAGCACAATTAGCCTTCATAAAGTTTCTCTAAATTAGGTGGGAGCATACAAAGACAGAGAACTGATGTAATTTCAGTGACCACTGATGGTTACTCTCAATGGTTCTTAGCCTCTGAGGGAAACAGAGACCAAAGGGGGTTGTCTTCTTTCTTCCCCATCTTCCCTCTGCCGTTGTCGATGCTTCATGCTTTTCTACGCCCAATACCCCAAAGAAGGCTCTCATTTGCTTTTGACATCTTATTTTTGAGATCTGGACTTGTTCTGGTTTTGCTTGTTCTTCTGAATTATTCTGCTTCCATCACATACCCTGCCTGCTCTGCAGGATTTTAGTTTTACTAGATATCTTGCAGATTTTACTCCTACATGTTTTCACACATCCTGTTTGTGCAACTATATCACAACTTTCCATTTACCCCCTTGCCATTACAGCTGCTGTTTATATATTTAAGCTTAGGTGCATCAAAAAATGCTTTCAGCGGTGTTACAATCTGTTGGGTGCCCATGGCACCCAAGGTGCTGGCAGCAGGGTTGCCCACTGTAAGAAGAAGCCAAGGGCCGCCCCATCCCAGACACAACTGGTTCCAGCAGACCCACTGCAGGACACAGCTGAGCCCATCAGCCAAGCTGGTGGCACCTCTGGGAAAAAACATTTAGGAAAGGGCAAAACATTGCATAGTAGCGAGCAGGGGGGGGAAGTGTGAGAAACAGCCTTGCAGACACCAAAGTGAGAAGGAAGAGGAGAAGGTGCTCCAGCTGCCAGAGCAGAGATTCCCCTGCAGGGCCACCTACAGCTGGTTGCCCAGGACCATGTCCAGACGGCTTTTGAATATCCCCAAGGGAGCAGAGATTCCACAACCTCTCTGAGCAACCTGTTGCCAGTGCTCAGTCACTCCCACAGTAAAAAAACATTTCCTGATGTTTACAGGGAACCTCCTGTGTTTAATTTTGTGCCCATTACCTCTGGTCCTCTTTACATCCTCCCCTTCAGGTGTTTGTGAACATTGATGAGATCCCCGCCAACATTCACTTCTCTGAGCTAAACAGACCCAGCTCTCTCAGCCTGTCCTCATGTGAGAGATCCTCCAGTCCTTTCATCATCTTAGTGATGCTTTGCTGAACACTTCTTCCAGTAGCTCCATCACTCTCTTGTACTGGGAAAATAAATTCTGGAAAATGAAGTTTTGACCTATTTTCAGCTAATTTAGCAGGTGACTGTGGAAGACATTATAATAAGGAGATACTGACTTCTAGCAAATCTAGGCAGTTTACCTGTAGGCCTTGGCTGCAGAGGCCCATACGTTATCATTAGTGACAGCCACATAATGAGAGCACATACCATACCATTAGCATGGACTGCCTTTAACAATACAACCAGTATGTTTGTAAGAGCTTGTTCCTATAGAGATGCATAGCTTTGGGAGACGAATAGCTTGGGGGTTTTTTGGGGGTTTTTTTGTGGGTTTTTTTTTTTAGAAAAGTACTACAAACATGTTAAGAACAGCAAGGATGCTGAACCTCACTGTGGATGGGAAGTCTGCACAGCAGGCCATGGTCCTACCAGAGACGTCTGTCTGATGCTGTATTGTCATAGGTTCCCATAACATCAGAAGGGACACATAAGATTTCTTCTCATTAGAACCTTTAGTAGTAACCAGATATTTATCTTAAGCACCACATGCCTTCCTTAGTGAGATCCAAAAGTACCAGCACCTGCCAATGCACAGCAATTATTCACCTACTCCAGAATTTTGGTAAGTCGCTTCATTTTTCTCTTCTACATTTTCCCCAACTTTGTCTAAGGAGAATGCAGAAAGGCATATCATCTACAGAGCACTCTGAGATCTATGTATCAAGAACATATGCAAGTGCTAGGTAATAACAGTCTTGTGGGAAATGCTCTGCAACTTCAGTCACTAAAGAACTCAAACCTTACACTACTACCAAGGGATAGTCTTTCTTAGTTGAAGAATGTTGCTCTATTTTGGGGGTCTGATACCATTCAGAATGTTACCTTCATCTGCAATGTACATGCCTCATCTGAGTGCCTTCCTAAATGAGAAAAATAAGTTAAGGCTTTAACCATGTAATTTGTTTTTCCACCCTTCCAAGCAGATATAACTATTCAAGTTACTGAGCTGGAAACAAGCAGTTAGTCCAACATCCACCAGAGACAGACAATCAAGCACAAACTAAGGGCTGTGATATAAACTTATACAGTAGTCCCTTGGTTCAAAGGAGTAACATAATCCTCTGAATGTTTCTAGAAAAACTTAAAATCACTGCTTCCTTAATAGGTCTTTCCCCAACCCAATCCTTCCCCCTTAACTTCAGTATCCTCTCTTTTTTAGAAACTTTCTCCTCCAGAAATACTGCTAATCAAAACCAGAAGCAGAGAGCACAGTTTGTCATGCAGCCTGAAGCTGGTTTAAAAACTACCAAAAAACCCCATAAGACTTATGTCAGACATTGATTTTGGGGGCCAGAGCACAGGAACTGCTTTTGTGCTTGCATCTTCTGGCTCAAGAGAGCAGGAAAAAAAAGCAACTAAAATACAGAATCAGGTAAAAGCCAAGAGAGTACTAAAAATACAAACATTTTCTATAGAGCATCCATTACACAAAACACCACTTTAGGGTAGCAGAGATACCAGACACTTAAGTTACAACGTGAAGCTCCCAGAGATTTAAAGACACCAAATCCAGTGGAGAGTGATTTTGTAGAGCATCTAAAAGAAGATGCATTAAAAGATGATGTTAGTGCACAAGATGAAATTTTTACATGAAACCACCAGAATAAACTACAAAACCAGAACAAAGTGCTGCCTCAGCTAAATAGGGAATCCACTATTTAGCTACATCAAGAAAGCACACTGCCCCTTGCATTTGACAAGAAATAAAAAAAAAAAAAAAAGGAGAGCCAGAGAGAACGTGAGGGAAAATGTAAAACCCCCTGATTTTGGGGTGCTGTTGTGTTTTCCTTACCCTGCACCCCACTTCAGGTCACAGAAGACCAAAGCTTCCCTTTACTTGAGAGCTTCATACATGCCATTTGTCAGCGCACACAGAGCCAGTCAGCATTCCTAAGCAAGAAACAGCCAAGTCGGCTTTCACACCACCCTCCCCAGCTCTCAGGTTTATCAATAGACTGCACTGATCTCTGCTTTCTGTTGTTTCTGTTGTTTTACTCCATAATAGGAGTTAAGGTACTCAATCAGAGGTAATTAATGATGCTTGCCAGTGGTGAGGCCTGAAGAGAAGAGATATAGATAGGAGCTTAAGAGTAATACCAATCAATGATGGTTGCTACTACCTGCTCATTACTGGGAGTAATTAAACAAGAAACACTTAAGTTTTAGATGCAGCTGAGTGGGACAAAGATATTATTAATCCTCCTTGCTCATCACCACCGTGCTCCTTTGAATCTGCCAGCACAATGTATTTTAAAACACTACCAAAAAAAAAAAAAAAAAAAAAAATCTGTTTTGTCAAAGCCCAGCACTGTCACAGCAGGGAATAAGAAAACAATAGAACTGTTATGCCAATAGATCTGTGGAGATTATAACCTCCAAAAGACAAGGGTAGCAGGCAGTACTCTAGTAATTTCATAACCAGGAACAGCTATAGTCAGAACAGGATATTCTTGGCTTTAAACAGCCATACCTTGAAGATATCTTTGCCCTTATACACACATGCAGAATCAGAATGGATTGTTCAGCCAAATTTAACAAAATCAATGACTTGCATACAAATCGGACAAAGGTTGCTTTGTAGAAAATTAGTGTACAAAACCTCAGTGCACTTTGGAAGGGGCAGATTTTAAACAAAACCGACTACAGTCATTTTGGTCATTTTCTCATAGATTTTTCTCACTCCCCTACACCCTCAAGCACCAAAAGGTGCAGGCCTATGCAGGCTGGAAAAGGAAAGGGGCCCTTGCTTCCTAGTCTCCATCATCTCTTGGAGAAAAGCCAACAAACTGGGTTTTGCTCAGGCCTTTTATCCTCTAAGCATGTGAAATTATTGTGATCTTTCACCTCTGTCTTGCTTACCTCACCATCTGTTAATCTCTGGTGAAGTTGCTGACTTTTTTTGTTTGCTTGTTTTGAATAACCTTATGGCTATCCTGTTGGGATAACAGGAATAGCACACAAAACAGGCTGTAAGCCTTGCTGTCCGCTTCCTGCTGTCAGATGGCAGGTCTTCTGCTGACAAGTCATAGATGACATGGCCTTATCTGGGTGCAAACCTTCTGGTATTTATGTAAGCAATACGCTCCTCAGTGTTTAACAGTTTTACTGCTGTTATTTTTTGGGGGGTTCTAAGTACATGGCGCTTTCAGAACTCTGGCCCTATAGTTTCTTCTGGTGCTTTCACACACAGCCATTCCCATTCATACTTCATTCAGACTAATCTTAATATTACTGTTACATATCTTAACAGTTTGAAATTCAGATCAGAACTCCACATTCTCTTGCCCTCTTCCATTCCTAATTAACAAAAGCTTCTCTTAACAAATGAGTACAACTCACATCAGGGAGGAGGAAAGGGTCACTCAGGAGAAGCAGGACTCGCAGCTCATTCTCATCAAGGCCAGACAACTCATGGATCTTTAGAACTTTTTTGTTCTCAGCATTGATGATGTCATGTGAGTACTTACAAGATCTGCAAGAAAATACACAGAGATATCAATGTTTACTTCTTCAGTCAACTTGATTTAAAGAAGAACCTCAGATAATGTGCAGCTTGAGGAAAAACCATGGAGAGAAAGGTAGTTTGGCAAAAGTCTCTGTAATTAGCTAGAGAATGGACCAAACAGCATAATAACTCTGTGAAACACAGTAGCGTTATCATCCTCATTTTAAACATCGATGCGTCGAGACCACTTTTGAGAAATCTAGCAGCACAGATTTGAAGCCAAGTCTGTCTACCTCACACTTTCTTCCCCTCCAGTAATAGGCAAGTCAAGTCACATGACCTGAACAGCTGGAGGGAAAGGGGAAAGCTAATTTTAGAGGAATACATCAACAACAGCAGAAGATGCAACATCCTTGATTTTGTGAACATAAAAGGTTGTTGTCCCAGGGATGGAATGTAAAGAAAGATACAAGAGTCTGAGTGCACAAAACAGAGATAATGAAGCTGAAAACAACACAATTTATTATCTTTGCTGGCTAAGAAGTTAAAAAAACCCAAACAAACAACCACCAAAAATCCCCCAAGAAAATTCATTAACCTCTGAGTTTTGGATAAAGCAGCAATTCAATGACAATAACCAAGATACTGGTGCCACTTACTAACCCAAGAGAAATGTCTGAAGTGAGTATGAATTAGAAAGAGAGCTCTATTGCAAATTTTTTGCACCTATTTGAAAAGATACTGCAAATCAATAATAGAGGAAAAACATGGTCAACCTGTGCATTAATTCAATGCAGTAAAATACAGCATCCTTACATCTTGCTCTTCAAAAGCGTGATTTGATACAGCCTCAAGACTAGACATACTCAATCAATAAAAGTACCTCTTAATCTATCAGACTTATATCTCTGTTCCCTTTACCGTTTTAGCCTGTAGTTAACTCCTGAAATGCTCATCATGAAAGCTTTTTTACCTCATGCTGTGTCTGATCCAATTCTTCTCTGCAGACCCTTCTACAGACATTTCACCCCTGACCCCCACTACCTGCTGGACACATTGCTTTGTAAGCAAATAAACAAGAATGCGAAGTCTGCAGGGCAGAAGTGTGTCATCTTTGGTCCTGAGAAGCGATCTTCTAAGGACACTAGATTCTGCAGACACTCGATTAATGGCTATTAAGGTAGGTGAGCTACAGAGTATTGCAGGTGGGAGCCATGACCAGCGTTCCTCCACAGTTAACTTCAGATTCCACCAGTCACACAGTGATCTACATCACTTGAGTACAAATTTCTAAAGTCAAAGGTTGAAACAGTCCACAAATACAGTGATAACTAATCAGCTAAGTTTAATAACACATTTAGAAAAAAAAGCACTGAAAAGTTACTTGCCAGACACAAGTTAAAAATAGGTTTAACTGGACTAAAATTGTGATTCCCCTAAATAGGAAGACCCCAGTAACTTGCATAGACATTTTTCTTTCCAGAGATTCTAAAACAAAGAGAATGCAGGATGTGGAAGCAAGGCTAGATTGTACCTTATCAGTTAAAAAACACTCTGTTGTGGTCCTCCTTGCAGTATTTCTGTCCCCTCATTTTAATGCAACCTCTCTCCCACAAAAGGCATACTCTTCATTCTATTAATGCATAGCAAGGTGATTTTAAATACTTAGTGCTATTGAAAGGACAGGATGGTTTATCATTACAAAGGGAATCACCTCATTGCACATTTTAGTTCACAGAGAGTCATCCAGCACACATGCCTTACATGCACTTGAAGGTATTTTAACAGTGAATTGCATGAAAGCTTATTGTGCTGTCAGTAAAGCGAGAAACAGTGATGAAATCTTAGCACCCTAATACTTCGCTAGTACCATTCTGAGATAGACATGGCCTTTCCCCTCCACGCTCTTCAGATCTTAGCGCAGAGCCAGCTATTTTGCTGGGGCAGAAGACGACGAATGTGGTGTGATATCAGCATATTACTAACACCGTGACAGCACAAGACCTGCGGCTTGGGGGCTTAAACTGCAAATTCTTCCATCAGAGTTCACTGTTCCCACTGACTGCCACTGAAATGCTTCTGGTTTCCATTTCTGCATTTGTTTTGGTTTCCTTTGTCATTATTTTTTTTAAGCTAGGCACCACCTTTGCCCAGCCTGTGCCCAGAGAGGCTGCCAGGCCTATCCTTCCTGCAAGTTCTCCAACCGTCCAGAAAACGTCCAGGGACTGATGTACGTAGGAAACCAAACGCTGCCTCTCACAGAAGTGGCTGCAAGCTGAGCAATGACTTAGAGCAACATTAAGCGTCCGTAACTTTCTAGATTAAGACCAGACAAAAAAGCATGCTAGCGCTTTGCTTTTTTATTACTGGAGGAACATTTGTAAACTATTTCATCCAGGTGCCAGGGGCCGAGGGGCGGGTTGGCAAGCAAGCTGCTTTAAACAAAAAAAAAACAGCCTTCAGAAAACTGGAGCCTACGGCAGTCACTTTGGGCTTTCATCAAACCAGCCAGAACAGCAAACGGCTTCTTCGCGAGCGAGAAACGCCAGGTACGGGGCTGTACCCGGTTGCAGA